GGGAGGATCAGGAAAGATCAGAAGAGATCCACAATCCAAGGTATTAAACATTCGATTTTCTTTAACTTACAGTGCTTTTTGTTATAGTGGAATCGTGGTCACGAAACAGTCATGGCAAAAACGTTTGACAAAATAAATCTAGGTACAGAGTGGAAGACATGCGCAATCTAGGAAGGCACATCGAACATATTTGGCACTGCTGTCTAAATTTGAGACAGTTCTGTTATCCAGCACGACAGTGTTATCTAATGCGCATCTATCAAGTTCACAAGCAAGTCATTTTGAGTCATGAAATTATTCAAAGTTAGTTCAAGTTGAAGTAATAGCAGATTTAAAAATGATTTAGAAACAGCAATAGGCCTGAACTCTACACATGATTATTGGAGTAAAGGAGCATATTTAATATCCATAGAAGGAGCAGACGAGACGTTTCTGGAAAATGATTCATTGGAAATTTGAGTGGGAGGATGACATAAGTTGTCCGTACAATTTCTGACTTTCATTGGGATCGAAGGGTTGGGAAAATTTCAGCGGCTGGAAGAGCGACCATTGATAACATGTGAAGCCTTAGAAATAATAACATCTACTTTATGACATATGATGGACTTACTTATTAAGCGAATCAGCATCAGCTGAAGAAGGATCATTGTTTATTTCCTTACCACTAATGTTTTTCCCAAATAGTTCTCAAACTGATTCTTTTCTCTTCTTATTAATGTTTTCAGCCTCTATACACCATGATTACCTTTCATATTAAACAGCCCTCATTTTACGGTGAAGCTTTTTAAGGTGAAAAAAGGTAAACAGTCAACTTTCAAGGAAAGTGAATATCAGATAACATGTTTCATTTGTGATTGCGGTGTCTAGAACTTGTTCAGTAAATGAGAACCGTTTTGTTGGTTTTGGCAATCGCTTGAGAGTATGCATATTGTGCTTAGTGAAAGGACTATGCTGAGGTTTGTTGAGGGGCAGCTCTATTTGTAGCTTTCCTTAGACGTTTAACAATATTCATGTAGTATAATGATCCAAGTGTAGAAGTGTGGCACGTTTCCATGCATCAGATATACCAGTCATTTTTGAACATAAAATCAAGAGTATTATCTATTCAAGTTCAAAAGTTGGCGTTGACGGAATGATGGGAGAAAATTGCACTGATTGGATTTCAAACCTCCAGTCACCACTGACAACGAATTGGGAAGGAATGTGTCAGGTAATGAGGTGAATCCATCAGTAAATCAAGATAGTTCTAAATGATTAAAACAAAGTCTTCCAGGTGTCACTCTTCATGAGGCATTCATGTTGTTAAAATTGAATTTATAGAACGACAGCAACTAATATCCACCTCTAAAATACTTTCAAGAAATCTAAATACCTTCCAAGTTGTAAAGAAATGAAACATTGCCAACGATTATTTACAGTGTATTGTTTTCAAAAAACGTATGAATTTATTATCGGAATATATTCGCATTTAATTAAAGTTATCGCATTAATGTTTTGAAATGAAATATAGTGCTTACATGCCTCTTTACCCTTCTGCGTGCTCTATCAGAACGTTTAATATAGTTTACATGTTTTGAATAGACAAATACTTAGCAAACTAACCAACCTAGCCTTTTTGACATCAAGTGACTGAACAAAACAGTGAAGATATTCAAAATTAGAAATATTTATTTATCAGAGATGACATATCATAATCAGGGTGAAAACGTTAGAGCATTTGAACACGTTTCCCCAGAATCTTCAAAAGGAGAATATACTGCAGTGAACAGTATGATCATTTCCAACCACAAACAGAAAGCTCGGAATATTATTGTGCAATAAACATCTTTGTATGCGATGCAAAATCGTAGTCTATTCATCGTCAGGAAGATAGCCTGCAGTGTCAGAAAATAAAGACAAAGAGACAGTATTTCTTTAGCCACACAAATGTTTCATTCAAGAATATTTTACTATTTTAGCTACCTGACAGACATACACAATATAGAATTAAATTGAAACTATACCATTTGATTCAACAGATAATGAGCTTTGCAAACAAGGAAAGGAATTCGCCTTTAGCTTAAAACATGTTAATTTTCAACTCAGTATCCTCTTTTATAAACAGATAGAATTTGTAATAATGGAATATAACACTTGAACATATAGTTTAGGAAAGGTACCGAGAGAATATCAATCTAAGTGATGTAATATGAAAGTGAATGGCAATTGAAAAATCTACTCCAAGTCTCTGTTTTCTTTCATTCCTACTGTGATGGATTGAGTTCAGAGATAAACTACCAACTCAAAGTCAAGTTGATGCTAACCTACGCTGATGACGCCAATTTTATTCTCAGTCGACATTACCAAGCAGCATAACTTATCATCTTGCTAACAATTTGCAGAGAGCCGAAAGCAATGGAGATGTTAGGCTGAAGCCCAATCTTCCTCCAAGGATAAAAAGAATTATAATGACGATATGCGCAATTCCGTTAAGTTGAATGGTGAAACATTATTTTGTGAGCGTATACACTGGTGTGAAGATGTGATGAAAATGTTTTTGTTTTAATTGTGAGCGGAATTGTTATGATAAAATGATTGAATCGTACATAAATTTTGAATAAGATTGCATATGCGAAATATTCAGAGCATATAAACGAAAAGAATTCTATTCGGTTATCTTTGCTAAAGACAAGACGGATAAATCGGTGTAATTTTTACCACTGAGCTCACTATATTTACCCTCAAAGTTATCATGAATATAAGACAATAGAACTTACTAACACCATAGCGAGAATGAAGCTCACACCAAATGAAATCTTTTGTGCCTTCTGAAAATGTGAAAGTAAAATGGGATAATTTGTCAAAGCGAATCGAAGTTTCAGTTATTCAGAAATCCACACTGAAATAAGATTACTGAAATTGTTGATGAATCAACTTTGCGTACATTGACTTGGTGTAATCAAAAGCTGCTAACTTGAAGTGGTGGTCGTTCCGGCATTTCAAAATGACCCAAATAGTGATACTGGTTTGAACTAGTGTTTTATAGGTGTCTGAATGAATCATTTCGCTATATTCAAATCAAACTGAAATACTCAACAGCCGATGCTAGCCGGTATTACGACCTCAACAAGCATACAGCTCTGAAAATAAACTCAATATGAGCCGTGTGCAATTGAACTGAAACAGTTGTCTTCTGGTCCATTCAGTCACTCAGGACTAATATTCTTCTCACTTCAGGTTTTTCAAAGCGAAGTCTACTTGGACAGTGTTAGCGGATCTATAGAACAAACCATGCACACATTTGCGAAACTCACAAATCTCTCATTCTCATCATCTTGCTTTCATCCTACCCTTAATACTATTACACAGACAACCCGCTCATCTTCTCTTAACACTGTGACCACGAATAGCAATCTCACAATAATATGTCTCAGTTGTGTGTTAGCAACCTTCCGAATACGTGACATCCAATGAAAAATCATTTAATATTTATCCATTTCCAGTAAGACAAATATCTCATTTTCAAAGAAAACGTAATAAATCAAGTTAAGATTTTAAAAGATATGGAACAATTGAATGGTACCTTTTTAGTACTACCTGATACGTATTCAACAATGAACATAATTATTCCAATAAGCACGGAAGCACATAAAACTGCAAAAAGTGTAATGGTGAACAGAAAATTAGAATCCCTCATGTACAGAGCCATAATGAGCGCAACTGCAGTCAACAGGATAGTCACACCACTTGCTGTCAAAGCTGTCAACAAGTGAACAGTTTTGAACACACTGGCGAAACCCATTGAACATAGCACGAACTGAAATAAAAGAAAGTATCAATTTACACAATACAATAAAGTACATATTTAGTGTGTAAAATTTATTACGAAATTGTACCATTTTGCTCAAGTATTAGTAAAGTGGCCTCATTTACATCGTTGACATATCGTTATAGCTCCCACAAATTCACTAGTCTTGATACGACCGATACATGACCGCACAAAATAATACCATGTTCATGATCTTTAACCGCATTCAATAAGATCTTTCAAATGTACAGCTGAAAAAGAATTCCCTTTTTAAACAGGATTGAATAAAGTGAATTTATGTGAGATTGCTCACACTGTTAAATGTGTGTTTCGCGAGTTGTATACCATTTGTTCTTTTCTTATGCTAGTCTGACATGCAGTTAAAAGCAGAGAGAGAGAAAAGTATGTAAATATTGAGTCAACATTACTTTTATCATTACTGATTTTGATTAATTCTTTTAAACAAGTGGGTGGGAGACTGATACCATGTTCGTGTTGAATGGCAAATGTTTGCTGATGGAGTGGATGTTGAAATCGCATTGGCTGAAATAATCGCGTAGACACACTTAAGCCTGAGATTCAATCAATGTTAAGAACTATTTTCTCACATTCAAATTGAATTATCTTAGTTTTCGTCCATGTGATACACTTAGATGCGTGCCATATATCTTCAAAATTGTTATGAATACGATCGAGATGAATGCTGGTGCTTAGTGAAGATGCTAACAATAATTCACACAGACGACAGCGTACTTCATCAAAACGCATTGCTATTTCTCATAAATACATAGAATTGCTGGACAGCGTGATTGAAACATTGCTTTAGAAATATATTTTCGAATATAACTCTAGAAATCAATTCCATGTAATGAATATCCAATTAACTGTGATATACACTACGTGGTACACAGTTGTAGGAGGTGGCTGCTGTGAAGTTCATACTTCTGATTTCCTCGTATATATGGCAGTTGCATTTGTCTCTTGCATCTGGAAGCTTGCATCACTTGTGATTCAAAACCTTTTGGAATATGTCTAGTCATCAGCTTATTGAGACTACTCATACACAGAAGACAGTATAATGAGTACGTTAACGAATTCAATAACATCTTTGTTTGATACGAATCAAATAATTTGCTTGCATAAAAATATTCTTCCTAAGGCCTTAAATAGTTTCCAGTTAATACGTGTGAAACAGAAAGATCGAAACACTTACACTGATTCCTATCAGAAAATGATCAATTTCACGACGATATCAGAGAAGTTTGAGTAATGAAAGGACAAGAATTGGAAGTGTCCCAATTAATGTGAAATGAGTAATTAATATTAGTCAGGTAATTCTGTTTTGAAGTCAAGCACAATATTTGCATCATCAAAGTGTTTCCCTCATTAAACGACTAAGTGTGGTACTGCTGCAATAACCATCTGTTATATGATATCTGAATAGCTACAGGTTTCATGTGAACTGCACGAATTCCTCACAATTCGAAAATGCGCCAGTATATATGCTACCAGCAGTTATTTAACATTCTTGCAATCACTAAGCAAACACCAAAATAAACAGAGAATAAACAGCGCAAATATCTGAAATGAACAACCTTTTCATCCGGTCTAAGAGATATAGGCAGGTAACTCATAAAAGTTTCCATTGAAAGCTGTGTGCATAGGTTTCATGAGGATATATTGATGGAAAACGTCATAAAATGAACTTACATTAAAATAGTTGTCACCCAGCTGTGCTCTTCAATCCAAAAACAAAGCTCTTTACTGTGAAAACAGAAAAATTAGTATCTTGATGAAATCTCGTCTTACACTCTGTTGACCATAACAACCATTGTCAGTGTCACTGAAAGCATCAACAATGTGTCAATTACCATCTGCATGGTGCAGTTTCATAGCAAGGTGTTGATTTCTTACCCAGATGAAGAAGTATAGAAATCTTCCTTGTCTCAGGCTTGACAGTATTTTTCAAATGGTTTGATCTTTCGTGTTTCATAGACATATTTCGACCTATAGAATATTTTCAAAGAAACACAACAGTTTAAAGATTAACTAATCCCCATAATCAACGATGTGTAAGATGTAAATTACTAGGCAACAAAGTAATCACATGCAGCTAGAATTTGATATATCACCGATATTATTTGTTTTATGCGCATCTTCTATGTGTATGGGCATGTTTGCAGTTATTAATCACGTGATATTTTGTACGTTGAATAACGATATTTAAGGTGCATGCACCATTTGTCCCTTGACAGTCATAATATTAAAATTTTGAAAGTGGGATGAGTGACAAATACTGAGAATTCCATTCTGTAGTATAAGTACTGTTTTTTCGAATTATTATTATTATTAGCATGAATGTCAATACTGTCTCCAATAAGGACAGTAGTATTGACTATACGTTTTTACATAGTTGAATGAAGATGAATGAAGAAAATGAAGATATTTGTTCCAAATCACCACACGAAAACATGCTTTGTCTGTCCACCCTTACTTATCTTGGTGAATTAGAACTCTTGCCGTTATATACATGATTCAGGCTTTCAGAGTGTGAGTGTGACAGGATTATTAACGTTGATAGGATCTGTTATTGTCAGTAGGTGAAACTATAAGCTTGTGCTGATCTATGGACCTTTGTTGTCTGGTTTTCACCTCTCTGTGCTGCATGTCACATACCATCAAGTTGTATGAACGTTTATTGATTTTCTCGTCTGGTTCGCTGTCAGCACCTCATATTCACCCACCAATAGCTACCGCAAAGACAAAGGGTAATTTTTCGTAAACAAATGGCTGTCGGATTCTCAGTTAATCAATCACTGCTCTGCAGTTTTACACGTCACCTTATATGAATCAATTGTATTTCTTTCCAGGGTCTTCTTCGATGACAGCCATCATTGACGTTCATGGATATTTATGAACATATAATTTGCAGAGCGCATACAACGTTATGTATATGATCAGCAGTATAAATCAAGTTTGTGAAGATACAAATATGACTTAATGAAACTGATAATACATCTGTCGTTCAAAACTTACCCATCACGCCTTCAGCCGTTCTATTCTCATAAATGAATAATTCATCGAAAACTTTTATATAATCTTGCTGCTTCATTTTTTGTCTGTCATTAACTGACTAGCTGAAAAAACATTTGAACTTTGGTCTTCAGATAAAATTAAAATATTTTCATTTTATTCTAATGATTGATGTGAACGCATCAATGATATTCAAGGAATTGTGATATTGATGAGATGTCTTTAATGATTGGTTTCTTTACTGTTACTACGATTTAACTAGCTTACATTAACGAATCACGAGGGTTCAGTGGCGTTACTATAGTATCTTTATATCTGAATGACTTATGTCTGCGGTACTGCAGTTATTCGTTTCATGATGAAACAGTTCACAGTGTTTGTTCGTCAAGTTTTAATTTGCAGGGACTTGATTCGTTAGGAGGTTGGTCCGCGGCTGACATCAGCGGCAGGACGATTAGAAAGCACTCACTGGATTTCGAAACCAGGACCTTTTAGTTAGGAGGCGAGGTGGTGTGCTACTCAGCCACTGAAACTCAACCCAGTGGTCCATGCATTTAAAATTTCGTCGATTTTTAGGGGATGATACAAAACATGAGGATAAAAATCCCGGTTAAAGTAGAAATTTGGAGTCAGTATATTATAGAAACACAGATGATGAGTTATAAGTAATAATAGTTACTCGATAATACAAGTAGAGTTCTCTGCTTTATATCAATAATATAATACACAGACGCGTTCACTTCTAAGGTTGTATTCACTACTAGAATTTGTTTGCCAGCTTCAGAATAATCTTCGGATAACGATGACAGGTTCATGCCAACTCCAGAGGATACAACATGGTAAGTAGTGAAGCAAGTAGACAATGCAAACCAGTGAGAAGACGAAGCGATGTGCAGCATGCTTAATTTTAATTGCACTCCAAAGTTACGTATATATTTACAGTAAATAGTTTTGAACAAAAGTTATGTACAATGTTTTCATTCTAACATTTAACAAAAGTCTGCATAATCATATTGATCAGGAGTTGATATAATTTAGAGAATCTTTGAAAAGCCTGAGAGCACTTGACAACTGCTTCATCCTAATTTTTAATGAATTCAACATTGCAGCTAAAACGCTTTTCTCAACCTCACTTGATTGTGTGATCTTTTATTATTTTGAATTTTGATTTCTTCTCACGCTTATTCAGTTGCGTCATTAATAAATATTTGTCTTCCTTAATTTAACCCGTATCTAGCCCAGTGTACTTAAGAAAAGGCGTAAACAGCAAAGAAAATTTTCTTTTCGACGATTCATTAATTTCATAATCTATACAATCGTAATTATATTAAACGAAGACTTCTGGCAAACTTTGTCCTCGAAAAATGAAAAACACAATTTTAAATGTGTAAGAAAGGATGACTGAATGTAGGTTAGAAAAGAGGCAGATGTTGGCATGAAGTAACAAGTGTGAGAAAATGATTAATCAATAAGCTAGTGTGTAATGAACAGGAACTAGTGGAAAGCCGATAAGGTGGTTTTATGTAAAATCTGTCTGAAAAAATTATGTTATTATTAGACAGTAATAGAGTGGTAACAAAATAAGGATGATGGGAATAATAATGAAAATAGAATTTTAGCAGTAATAACAATAATAAAATTGAACTAACATAATATAAAGAAACAGCAGAATTATAGTAGACACTTTACTCTGGTCACCGTAGGGCGAGAGAATATGTGTATTGCTTTTGAATGGATATATATTCAGGACTCTTTGTGAGACTATGAAGCATCGATGCGGAAGTGCTCGATGTCTGGAGATGACAAGTTGTTCGAGGATAGAGCTGCTACTGTCATGTCATTTATGTATTACCGTGTTGTCCATGAATTACGCAATCTTATAATTTGAGTACCTCGAATTATCACTGCTACTCATGCACTCCACTTTACATTTTATCTGAGAAACTTCGTCCACATCGCTCATATGAATACAGTAATCTACTATTCCGAGGTGATCTCATTTTCCAAACACCATATGTTGAAAATACGTTGATATCAGAATCTTGTTTCAGTTTGAGAATCTCATCCGAATCGACTGAATAATCTCTCAACAGGAAGACCATAAGTCGAATCAATATATGTGCGAAACTTGAGGACAGTGATTTTAACATTTTGAAGTTAACGACAGTCTCGTTGTAGCGATCATTCATATAACTTTCAATGTTTTTATATTTGTTTCTTTGTAATAGGTTTTATATCTCACTGGACAAGGTATAAAGCGCTGCAACAATGAAACATTGAGGACACTCCTACCAAGTGGGTTGGCTCTGATAACTTGGGCAGAAATTGTTTATTTATTCGTATCCATAGCTGTGATGTTTATATAAGGCAAAATAACGGAACTGTATTTAATTGAAGAATGATTTCCTCCTACTTTGGAACAGCAAGGTGATTTATGCATGAAAAACATTCAACTCTTTTTCTCTCTTGTTGGCTCTGTTGTCAGAATGAACTTTACTTGAAATACATTTTGCAGTGTTGTATTTTATGTTTACTATTAACGGATGAATGGACTTTACTCATGTGTTGGATAGTGAGACACTACCTACTACGTCTCATAGTGTCAGAGCATTTTATCTTGAGATGAGGGGAGTGATAAACAACTCAAAATTTATTTTTTTCTTTTTACTAATTGTTAAATACCAGGTAAAAATAAATTAACGATGAGTTAGTTCACATAGATTGCACGTTTTAAATGTTTATCAACTATTACCGTAAGAATGTTTATGATGATAATTATAATTATGTTTCAATAGTTTACACACAATGATAAGTTTTGTGTGAACTATTGAAATATGATTATACTTTATTTGATTCAATCCATAATGCTCAAGCTTTTTACTGATATTGAGTTTATAATGAATATGCTACGTGCAACATTTGAGAATTTACCAATAGTAATTTCGCACACAAATACAGATTAAGGTTTCCATTGATCTAACTCAACCAAAACAGTTCTCATTTGACTAAACATTGTGTGTATTCAGTTATGAATGTTTTGTCTGTTAATTCTTACAGGTATACACAAAGTCTCTTCATCTTCTCTCAGACTGTGTTATAGTGAGTATCCTGCACTGTGTGACCGTAATCTTCTTTTCTTTTCAGTTGGCTTTTCTGTCATGATGCTTTTGAGACATTTTCCTGCTGCATTTCAGCACACTTCCGCTGTTGTTGAAATCATGATAGTAATAGCCTCAGACTGGTCGCGGTTGACATCCGACTGACTAACCGT